CTGGGCATAGTGCTGACCACACTATTCCTTCATAGTTCGAGGTGAATTAAACAGATAAACTCTACTTCACTTGCCCCATGGACCGCCAGGTTCTGTACATAATTGTAATAAACATATTTCGGTAAAAGTGGAACGAAATAAAAATTGTATAGAAAATATATACTTTTACCAGTGTCCACCTTCCTCCAGAAAATTTAGTCCGCCCTCCCCCTCACAAAAGTCTTAAGTTCCCCCCCCCCCCCTTTCCAGAAGAAAAAAGTCTAAAAGAAACCTTTGGATCAGATGTGCTAGGAACAGGTTTTGCCTTATTGTACTTTTCCTCTGTGTTTTTATTTGTTTGTTATTGTTTTTCGTTTATCAAACCCCTAGTTTGGTTGCATCGTGGACGGGGGAGGAGAGGGGGGGAGGTAAAAGCCTTGAGTCTATGACGAGAATGTTCTCGAAACACGATTTGCTCCAAGTGCTTTAGAGCACACAAAAAATGTCGTCTCATGCTGAGTAGCCGCTTTAGCGGAACAAACACAGACATGCAACTTCATGAATTGCATGGCGGTGTAAAGACGATTTGTTGACACAACGGTGAGGTTCTGTCAAGGTGCGCCCAAGAGGGGCCTTAACAGGGTTGTCACAGCAAGGAACTACTGTTACATTAAAACCGGCTGTGTTGTTGTTGTTTTTTAATACTGATGTTATTTTCTAATTCAATACAAGTTACTATGTTGGTTCAATCATCGCAAAATAGTTTTAATTATTTTAAAAAGAAAGTTAATAAAATTTTAATCTATTTTCAAATAGATGTTTAAAAGTTCGTTTCCCAAAGCAATTTTTGTCCCGTCCCGTCCCCCCCCCCCCCCTCCCTTTCCAATGAAATAGAACTTCTATAGAAAATATATTGTTTTACCAGTCCCCCACTCCCCCGCCCTCGGAATTTTCAAGCCCCCCCCCCCTTCCCTCCAGAAGAAACACTGATTTTGGCTGTCACTATTCAAACCCTGTTGTCTATTGAATAAAAGTTTGTCGACTTAAGCTACCCGTTTCAAATTTGATGGACCGTGGGTCCATTGAAATCCAGTTCATCTGTTTCAGTGACCTAGGCATAGTGTAGTCAACACTGTGCCCAGTCGCCTTTTCTTTCCCAAACGTGAGTCAGGTACTCATTAAAGCTGGCTGAACTCAGGGACGTACTACGGACAAGAACCCGGACTCCAAACTCGAGGCTTTCGGTATTGCAGTCGTACGCTCTACTATCCGACCTCTCCGTCACAAAAAAACCCCACCCCCACAACACCACCCATGAGCCTGACTAACAATCCCACTGCTCCTTAGCCGGCTCCAGGGGACAAACTTTCAATTTGGCGCCCCTCCCCCCCCCCCCCTCCATATATTTTTTTTATATTTATAACTCAAAATACCCGCTAAAAAAAGTAAAATTAGCTTATTTTGGCGCCCCTAGGGTCGACGCCCGGGGACATATTTACCCCCCCCCCCGCCCCCCGTTGCTACGCCTCTACCGCTCCTCCTAAAAATCCAATACTCTATACATACACCACAAAGCCTGGAGCTGAAACCTCCCTAACTTTGTTACCCCCCACAGGTACAGAAGGCGGTGGAGGGTCTCAAGGTGGACAGCAAGAACACGTCTGCTGCCTTCATGAAACTCAACAGTATTGAGGACCACAGGCCCAGCGCCCAGAGCTTGGGAGGGGTGGGAATCGGCATCCTTTGCTTCGGTCAGTCTTACATACAGTTGATATGTTCTACGTGACTATGTTATTTAACTATCATTTCTACAGAGGTTTTACATAAGCTACAGCGGAGTAGGCAGGATCTTGTTATCAGAGTTTCTTCCAGGCATCTCTTCAGGGGGGGGGGGGGGGGGGGGGGGGAAGCCTTCCCGAAAAAGTCTATCATCTTCTCCCCCCCCCCCCCCCTTCCCCCGAACGAAGTGGAATTTATATAGTAAAAACATACTTTAACAGTGCCCCACCCCCCGGAGAAAAAAGTCTGGAAGAAACACTGTTTGTATATATATATATATATATATATATATATATATATATATATATATATATATATATATATATATATATATATATATATATATATATATAATGTTTCCTGTATATAAGAAGATTGCGTTGAAAAAAAATAGCATTTTAAATGTTTACGGGGAAAACTTTTAGCTGAGGTTTTGTTTTAATTTTTTTTTTTTTTGTTTCCTTTGTTTGCTTTTAAATTACATTACGGGCCATCCCTACATCCCAATTCCGAATTCTCGCACTGACGCCCTGATTATATGCAACAAACCAAACCAAATGATTAAAATTCCGGACTTGACCACAACTTTTACTGATGGCCCAGAGTACTGTGTGGTTGGTCTGGTTTTTCTTAGTGGACCCAGTGCATGGACACTTTTCATGAACACTTAACTATATGTCCATGGTCAAATTACATGGACGAACTACAGGGACACATTACATGGACACTTCCGATCGACACTTCACATGGACACATGGATACATTACATGGACAAATTAAATAGACAAACTACATGGACACCTTTCATGGAAACATGACAAGGACAAATTACATGGACAAATTACATGGACAAATTACATGGACCCAGTGCATGGACACTTTTCATGAACACTTAACTATATGTCCATGGTCAAATTACATGGACGAACTACAGGGACAAATTACATGGACACTTCCGATCGACACTTCACATGGACACATGGATACATTACATGGACAAATTAAATAGACAAACTACATGGACACCTTTCATGGAAACATGACAAGGACAAATTACATGGACAAATTACATGGACAAATTACATGGACATATTACATGGACGTATTTCATGGACACATTACATTAACAAATTACATTACACTGGCACATTTCATGGACACGTTACATGGACCAAGTATATAGACATGTCTCGTGGATACATTACATGGAGAAATTACATGGACACATACGTTTCTAGAATAGTCGCGTTCCTCTATATAATTTTAACTTAACAACATTGACTTCTATTTTCACATAATATTTTCAACCAAAATTTATCTCAATATCTGCTAAAAATAGATGCTTATTGAATCGTGTGTTGAATGTCCTCTTCGGTTTTTTTTTAAAATAAATGCCTTGTTAATAAGATTTTTATAATATTAATATCGACAGTGATACTTTTTTTCAATGATCAATGTAACAAATATATATATATATATATTTTAAATATACCTATGTTGTGAGGACTTCTTTAATTTACAGTAGGACTATGTCTTTTTAGAAAGTCAAAGCCAGCTTCAAACGGACACAAAACTTTAATTATCATTAAAAACCAGAACAACATTTTTATTGTATTGGCACTTGTAGAATCGTCGCTGTACCATTGAAAACCATGTTGTGCATAAACTACCTTTTTAAAAAGAAAATTAATCGTTCGAGCAATATCAGGCTACTGCTTTGCTGCTGTTGTTTTGTTGTTGTTCTTTTTGTTTTTGTTTTTACGAATGCTGACTCATTAAGTTTTATTAGCCATACTTTTTTTTTAAATTAATTTTTATAACGTCATTCTCAGCCGAACAAGGTTTAACAATTACCATTAAGGTCGGGGAATAACTCTGTTCTGACCGTTAAAATGTTTCCCTCCCCTGGTATTGATCTTTATAAACCTCGGATAGCTGGTACCAAATTCATGAAATGAGTGGGACGGTGGGGGGAGGGGAGGTTGATGAAAATTAAGATGGACATTTGCTATCATCACCAAAATTTAAGTAAGTAGAGAAGAATAGATAGGTAAAGTTCATTTAAGCAATTTTTTTTATCTGACGTCACACTTCTCACCCCCCCCCCCCACCCAAAATGACGTCACTACTTTTTATTCCTCATTTATAACCACAAATATTAATAAAAAAATAAGTTGCGTAATTGCAATTTAGTTATAATCCACGTAACGGATTTTGAACAAAGGCCAGAATTGTGTGTTTTATTTTGGCGAATGGTGTTTTATTTTGGCGAATGGTGTTTTATTTTGGCGAATGGTGTGTTTTATTTTGGCGAATGGTGTCTTCTGTTCAGCGATCAATGACAACCTGAAATTTAACTGATTACAACTGACGTTATAACTAACGGATTCATCATTTGTTTTAACAAACTAAGGTGTATATTCATTCAATGAAGAGGTGTTGAGGCCTAAGGGTGGGGTGGGGTGGAGATGTGACTTCGACAAGGTCACGTATAAATTTGAAATCACACAAGGGCTTTTACTTTTACTCAAGGCGACTATGCTTTCGTGACACTTTGATCTCAATTTCTTAAAAACAATAATTTTACATTTTTAATAGTAAGAAACAAATAATTTTTTTTTTAAATGTAGAATTCCCCACCACTGTATGGCTATGTAAATGTAATGCATTATTGTAAAAAGGATTTTTTCTACCAATATTGGTTTTAGTTCAAGGAGTGCATTCAATCGTTAGATTTTGATAAGGGTTATACAAATATAGGATACTGTCTACATACTAGCCTCAAATTTGAAGAGGCCTTGATGGTGAAAATAGAAGTACCTCACAAAATAAACAAATGAAAACAATAAATAATTTGATTCGTTGTTATTTTCTTCTCTTCTCAGTTTTTGGTGGGCTGATACTTCTGGACATGAACGTGCTGATAGCCCACGTGATCAAGTTGTTGGGGAAATTGAAACCTGCAGAAACCGCGGAGGAGAGCAAAGAATAAACAAGCAGACGACTGACTGGCAGACGTGGAGCTGGTTAAAAACTAAAACTGTTTTATTCGATTCAAAACATGTTTGGCTTATAGAGAAATTTATAGACAAACCATTCTACACTAAGTTTTGATGGAATTTAGGGGGTGGGGTAGAATTATGATTAATATTGTAATAATCAGTTTAAGGTTGTATAAGATTAGACAGAGGCGTAGCGAGGGGGTGGCGGGGGGTGCGAACCGCACCGTGTGACACCATTTAGGGGGGTGACACCAAGGAAAAAATAGCAAAATATATAGAGAAAAATTTGAGGTGGGGGGTGCAAATCGAAAGTTTGAAGGGGGGGGGGGGGTGCAAATCGAAAATTGAAAGTTTGTCTCCGGGAAGGGTCGCTACGCCTCTGGGGGGTGACACCATTAAGTGCCGCACCGGGTGACACCCGACCTCTCTACGCCACTGAGATTTGATGAATAGAATATAAAAATGCGAGTTCCTATTTTGTTGTACAAAGGGAAGCCACTCAATACTTTACCACTAATGTTTGTAGCATTTGTCTTTAATATCAAAAGAGGTCACTTAATTATATTATAGCGTAACGTCATTTATGGTTGACCTCTTAATCCCATCTCGCCTATTGAACAGTTTATTTTTAGCTATTGACTTGTTAGAAATACGTTGTTATGTGCTGGAAAATATTGTTATGTAAATTGTTGTACAAAAGTGTTGCAAATTACTTAAAATTTAAGCGATGTTAATTGTTTTCTAATTTAAGATGAGTTGCTACAATCCAGATATGCTGTGAATATCTGTGTAATTACAATAGACTTACAATATGTACAGTCACCATTTTTTTTTCATACATATTAAAGGCGGCGTGTCAATCTCCAACCTCACATTTATTATAGAAGTAGCTCATTTAACATTTTGAATTGTGTTAATTATTATGATTATTAATGTTGTCTGGTGTTATGACTATTTGTTCAGAACAATGTAACATTTCAAGGGGAAGTAGCTAATATTCAAGAAAGGTAAATTGTAATTTAATTGTTACCTCCCTTAGCTCGTCAATCATGAATAAGAAATCATTTATGCGTAAAAACACATTTTCAAATGAATTAGTCTTAGCTTTTTTTTTTTATCTTTAAATGTATGTGTGCATTTGCTGTATGAGACACATGATTTTAATGGAACTTCATTTTATTATGAAATACTTGAATCAGTTGTGAACCGAATCTCGGTTCCTCGAGTTTTATAATCCTATGCCACTTACGATAGCCATACACCAATTTATTTATTTTTAATATTAAAAAATAGTCTTACTTATTTTTTTTTATGTTCACACATAAGCAGCTAAAATGTGTGTATTAATGTTTTAATGACTTTCCATTTATTTATTTTTAATCAAGGGAGAAAACCACTATACTTGTTACCAAAACACAGAGAAATTAAAATGATAACAAAGGAGAATTTTGAATTCGTTACTTATTAATTATTTATTACTTAAAATAAGTATTAAAATAATATAAGACTTTTATTAGTCTTGTCTTTATATTTCTTATATTCTTAATTATTATTTGTCAATAACCTAACCCAGAAACTAGTAGCTACTTTAATCACATTACTGCTACAATTGTTAAAGTTTACTTTCAATCACGATGGGTGCATTAAACCTCTTTAACTGTTTACAAAATTAGAACATTTTTAAAAATTTAAATCCAATTACCTAAGATGAATAAACCGGGAGTGATCTCCCCTAAACTTTCTCGAATATTCTTATATAAAATAACAGGGGATGGGAACTCGGGCTATAGACATGATTTTTAATCCATTTTAAATACTTAAAGTTTTAAAAATAGAATAAAATCTCGTAGACAAATTAATTGCACACCAAGTGAACGCGAAATAAAAAAGCGCATAATAGTGCGCAATATTATTATTACTTTTAAAATTTACATTAGTTTTTTGAGAAATCGGAAGTAGCGTAAAGTACTACTTCCAGTCAACGGAAGTGACTCAAAATTTAATAGAAGGTAGAGAATTAGATCTTTTACTTACGTATGAAATTTCATTTATCTATCTGAAATAGTACTCAAGTTATAGGCTTTTGAAAAATTCAAAGTAGGAAAAGTACCACTTCCGGTTATCGGAAATCGCTCAAAAGTTGATACGGATCTACGATTTTGATTAAATACTTATATATGAAATTTCATCAACCTAGCTGTAACGGTACTCAAGTTATCGTGTTTACACACGGACACACACACACACACACACACACACACACACACAGACACACAGACATACGGACAAGATTGCAAAATTATGTTTTTCCGTATCAGTGAGATGCAAAACGTTGAGATTTGCAAAAATCTCGATTTTTTTTTTTGCACGATTACAAGACTTTCTCTATACTTCGTATATACGAGAAAGTAAAAATGGAGTATTTTCTTTACTAAATCACCAACACTTTAGTGCTTAACTTGCCTGTACTTTGAGTGCACACCATACACAAAGGGAGAGGGGAAGAGAAGAGTACTATAATTGTTTGTTAGGGGTTGTTCGAAAATGTATTTTTTTGTTATGTAATATATGTAGGCCTACCATATTTTTTTGTTATATACATCTATTATATTGTATAATCTTTTTCTAGAAATAACGGATGATTATTAACGAAAATCATTTTCAAATTGTTCACATTTTTAAAAAAAAACTTTTAACAATCTGAATATTCTTATTTATTTGGCAATCAAATAAAATCCACGACAAAAAACTACAACTTTAAATGTCGTCTACTTTATTACGTACTACTTTGGTATACTGTACACAAAACATCGAGCTATATTTATAACATATCGATCTATTGCTAATACAACCCTTGAAATTTTCCGGGGGGAGGGGGGTGATAGACTTTGGGGGGGGGGGGGCGACACTGTTAAAAGTATATATTTTCTATATAAGTTTCATTTCGTTCGGGGGGGGGGGGGCGGTAGACTATTCCCCCCCCCCCCCCTCCCCCCGAAGAGATGCCTGGAAGAAACTCTGGTGTAAACCTACTAATACTGCGAGTAACCTGTTTTAACTTGTGCTCAAAGTGTTAAATTATGAACAATGTGATAAAAAGTAATTAGAATCCTGTATTCAAGTACTGAAAAAAACCACTAATTATTTCTTTTAAGACAAACGAATAAATCACTTCAAATTCAAGGGGTCGGCGTAGTCGAGTCGGTAAAGCTCATGGTTGCTAAACCGAAAAGGCTCGTTGACTGGGGACAGCCACTCTTCTAGTAGAGACAACTCCAAAATAAACAACTGCTGTCTTGTAGTTTGTTCTTGGTTAGACAAAGACTATGGAAAAAAATCCAAAAAGAAAAGCAGGCTGAAATCGGAGTCAATGACCTCAATGGCGCATAACCAGTTGACTCGTATACTTAATTGTGTTGGAGGGGGATCCCTTCCAACTCTAAAATTAAGAACGAAAAAGAAGAAGACTTCAATAGGCTGTTGAAGTGGAGTCCAAATGGAGTCCTGCCGGTTGGCGTTTTTTTAAACCAAATCTGAATATTTTTATTAAATCTTTTTTTTTTAAGTAAGGAAAGCTACTTTCGCTTTTGGCTTCAAAACAAACTCAAGAATTTAGAATCAGAATTTCGTGAATTTAGATCTAGAAATCGAGATAGAAAATTAAAATCTAATCTAGATCTAGATTCTAAATCTAGATCCAGATAAAGAATTGACTTTTCAGATTTTAATATAGATCTAGTCTAGAATCTAGATTCTAGAATTATATTTAGAATATAACCGACTCGTTAGATTTAGTTAGAGTTTTAGTAACTTTTAGCTTTTAGTAGTTTTAGATTTTAGAGGTAGAATCTAGATTCTACTAACTCTAGATCTAGAAATCTAGATCTAGAATCTAGATCTGATCTAGGGACCGTAGTCTAAACCGATTTTATTAGAAGAGTAAAGAAGAGGTTGTAAAGTCAAGTGACCAAGTCTAAAGAATTAATTAAAGAACTTTAGTAATTATATACTATATAGTATATAGGCCTAATTAGTTACTAATTATTACTAATTACTATTACTAGGCCTATAGTCTATAGTAATTAGAATTAGATTCTACTTTAGTGTACTAACTTAGTACTAAGTACTAGGCCTAAAATTAATATTAATTATACGTCATACACTCATACTTTAAGTTTAGAATAATTAAGTCTAAAGTTTAAGTTATAAACAGTAGATCTAGATACAATAATAAAAATATACCCTATTATAACAAATCGTCAAATAGTATTATTTACTAGATCTAGGGCCTATGTATTTTATTTAGATCTAGATCTCAGCCTTATTTTAGTTAGACCTAGATCTATAATAATAATAATAGTATTAAGTATAGGCCTGTTACTGTATATTATATAGACTATAGCATATTTTCTTTTATAGTGAACTAGGCCTATATGATTAATATGAATACTTTTATTAATATAATAGTAATAGGTGTTAGTATTAGTTTAGTTAGCTAGCTAGTATTTAAGCTAGAGTTAGTAATAATAGAATAATTAGCTAGATTTATGTAAAACAGAAACCTTTAGGCTTAACTTTTGAATGTAGGCCCATACATTTTTTTCTAGACTTTCTTTTGCTTAGAAAGTTAAGAACTGATTAAATTAGTTATTAGGCCCTATGTATTAATCATATTATAGTTAATTATAGGCCCCTAATTTAAATTAGGCCTATTTAGTTATAAAGACTTTGCCTTTATTCATTTTAATAAATAGGCCCCTATTTTAAATCAATGCCATATTTTTAAAAAAAAAAATCCTTTTCCTATTACTTTTTCTTTTAGTACTAGATCTAGATAAACTAGATATTACACGGTGACAGTAGGCTAGACCTAATAACCGTAATTACTAATTAGTCGTCTGCTTAGTAGTTAGTCCTCGTAGAGATAGTTATCGTTATATATATATAGACAAGTTATAGTGTACCAGTATTACTAGATAAAATTCTATATCTAATATCTAGTAATAGCTCTAGAAATTCCAAATTTGATTTAAGCCCAAAGTGGGCCTAAAAATTGGATTAATCTAATAATTACTAGCATTAGGGCCTAATTAGTTTAATTGTAATAAGCTTTGTTTGACTTTGTGTTACTGTCATTGAGCTTTTAGTTTAACATTGAAAATTTAATTCAAAGATTTAAAAAAAAAATCAGCAACTTCAATTAATCTATATAGCTAGATTCTAGATATTCATACTGTTGT